GTCTGTCACAGGGGGCATGGCACTGCCGCTCCGTCTTCTCCCACCCCAGCCCTGAGGGCCAGCCACCCACATGGCCACAGTGCCTGGAACAGCGTGGGGAACAGAGACCTGAAGTCTGGGGCTGGGGAATCTGCAGACTGCCCCATTGGGGTTTCAGCCACACCAGCTTCCCCCAAAGACAGCATCTTGGTCATCTCCACATCCCGACATAGCCTGGTGCAGCACTTGTTTTCAGGCTGAATACCTGCGGGGGCCATTGCTTCCTCTCAGGGTAAGACCCCACTTGAATCCCCGCTTCCTAATTTGGCAGGGAAGGGGGAACTGACTCAGGGGTTTCAGGAGTCTTTCGGAAATCAATGGCTGGAGGCAGAGGGACGCGTGACAGGAGGGAGAAGGGAGGGACAGCAAGAGGCACTGGGTGGCAGTACAATCCAAGTGGAGAAGGTGGAGTTGGTGTGGGGGGGTCTCCTTTATTCTTGGGGGAAACTCTTGTTCTCAATATGTTTCTTTCCCCCTTGGCTTGAGTGAATGATCCCCGACAATTTAGAAACAGTTTAGGCTGGGCACAGTGGCTCACGCCTGTAATCCCAGTGCTTTGGAAGGCCGAGGCAAGTTAATCACTTGAGGTCATAAGTTCGAGACCAGCCTGGCCAACATAGCAAAACGCCGTCAACGTAAAATACAAAAAATTAGCCAGGGGTGGTGGGTGTCTGTAATCTCAGCTGCTTAGGAGGGTGAGGTAGGAGAATCACTTGAACTTGGGAGGCAGAGGTTGCAGTGAGCTGAGATCCGGCCACTGCACTCTAGCCTGGGTGACAGAGCGAGACTCCATCTCAAAAAGAAAAATAAAAAAAGAAAAAGAAAAAAGAAAAGAAAGAAAGTTTCTGCCTGTTGTGGAAGAAACTGTTGCAAGGAGCAGGAGCAACTGACATGCCCCCAATCCTACCTGGACCCTCTCACCCTTTCAGTTCGACCCAAGGAAGCCCCAGCCCCTGAGCTGCCTCCATCCCCTCATCCCTCCTGTGCTTTCTCTAAAAGCCAATAGCCTTGACTGGGTGTTTGGTGAGGCGCTCTGGCCCAGTCTTTGGCCAAGGGCACTCATGCCCGCCCCTGTCCTCATCTGTTTGCATATCTGCATATTGGACCCTCCCCCCACCCCTTGTCTTGGTGACACTGGGAAGTTATTTGTGCTACTGGGAAGCAGCTGTCCTGGTGCTGGCTCCTGCGCACACCCAGGGACTCTCCCCAGCTGCCCTAACTTCGGTTTCACTTGTGGCATTTGTGTGAGGCTTTGGTTCTCACGTGCAGAGGAGGGGACCTGGTCAGCAGGCTGGCATGGGCACCACAGAGCCACAAAGAGGCTGGCACCTCTCTGTGCTACCTGGTGTGCCCTGATGTTTTGCCTTTTCCTCCTGTGTACCTGAACCGAGCTAGGGCAGCAGGTCACAGCTGTGACTCAGCTCTGGCAACCCATATTAACAAAGTGCTGCCAACCAGGTGAGTCATGATAGGATGCCAGGGGACCAAGGGAGTGTGGCCTACGGGGGAGGCTGGATACCCGTGGCTCTGCCACTGGCTACCCTGGCTCTTGTCTTGAGAATGGCTCTGGCGGGAAGCCAGGCCAGGGCTGCGACTGGTCAGCACCCCAGGATGATCCCTCTGTGCTGGGTTCTCCTTGGCCTTGGTTGTGCCCACCCATGTCTGGGGCGTGAGAAGAGCTGGGGGCAGATGGAGCGGGCCTGGGCTTCCAGGGGAGAACTGGCTGTCTCCCCTGGGGCCGAGAGCGGCAGGGGAGGGGTGGTGATGGGGTGGATCCTCGAGCGGGTCCCAGCTCCCGGAGGAAGGATGGCAAATGAGTGGGGGTCGCTCCCTCTGTGGGACCATTTGCCTCGGAGCAGCACGGAAGCGCGGCAGGTTCCCTGACTCCCGTGGACACTCTTTTTGGAGCACCACCCTAGGGATGCTCTTCTGCTCTCCGGAGACGTGGGTCTTCCCTGGGGCCCGGGCTCGGAGGCCAGGGTGCCCCAAGCCCAGGCTCCAGGGTGTGTGGGGAAAGGCTCGGTCCTGCTCGGCGCGGCCCGCCCTGGGCACTAGGGGTCGCCCCTGCCCAGCGGAAGCCACGTGGGCGCGCCCGGCCGGCGCAGGTTTCCCCGGACCGGGAAAAGCCAGGCGTCTCCGGGGCGGGGCTGGGGAGGGGGCGCCTGGGCGCAGCGCTGGGACCCTGCCCTGCCCTCCCGGCCGCGGCTGGACGGAGCGCGGGGCCGCAGCGACCAGGCCGGGCTCCCCGTCGCACCCCTTCCGGAGCGGGAGGCCCTCGCCGAGGCAGACCCTGGGACGCGCGGGGCGGGCGGCGGCGGGGAGCCGCGGGGCCGAGGCGCAGGGCGTTTTCCCCGGAGGTGCTGCGTGCGCCCGCGACACAAAGGTCTTTTAAAGACCTCGCAGCGCCCTTCCCGGCTGCGGAGGCGGGAGCAGCAGCTGCGCCCGCCCGGGGGACAAGGCCGGGGTCGGGGGCGGCGGCGCGAGGGGGCGCTGGGAGCGGCCGGACCCCGCGGTGGCGCTCGGGCTGGGACTCCCAGGCTCCTTTTGTGAGCGGAAGGCAGGGCCTTCCCCGGGTCTCTGAAAATGGTCAATTCGGCTTTGCAGGGCTGCGTGCCCGGAATAATAAATTGGCTTCTCTAGGGTCGTAATCCGGGCCCCACCCCAAGCAGCTCTGAGCTGGTTCGCGCCTTCCAGGCAGGACTATTGGGGGTTCTCAAAAGCACCCCGCGGTCGGCTGTGTCCGGACCACCGGGGTCCGGTTTGAACACGATTCCAGGGCCCCACCCCATCGCCAGAAGCGGAATCTCGGGGCGGGGCCCAGGAATCCGAGTTTTTGGTGAGTTCCCGGGTGATTCTGATGGCAAAGCCCATGTGGGAGCCACTGTTCTAACGGCTTTTGGGACAGGCAGTTGTGAAATTTTCCCCCAGAAGAATCTCTGGGGACCCAATTGTCATACACCCCTCTGTTCACTGCGGTGTTGATTCTGCCTCCAGATGAAGTTCTTCCCGAGTCTGACTTCGAGCCCGCCTGCTTTATTAAGCACGTTTTTCTCCAGTCGGTTTTTTTTTTTTTAATGGAAAAAGGAACAGGGAGAAGACTTTTCTCGAACCTGTGTGCAGAGAGCCGTCTTGCCCGCTTTGAGGGCCCTTTCTCGGGAGACCTGTTTGCTTTGTTCAGCCTCTGAATTCAGCAGACCCAAAATCCACCAAGGCCACTAGCTTGTGAGTGAATGTGGTCCCTTCAGGTAAGGGCCAGACAGCCCCTGCCAGGGCTTGGGGAGGGTTTCCCTAGAGGAATCCTGGCAGTAAAAAAACCAACCCCCAAACTCTCCAAGTGCTGGACGCTGGAGAATCCCAGCAAGGAAAAGGAACAAATCTTATCTCATGCCGGAAGATAACCTCTTCCCTTTGTTGGCGCTTTTCCTTGCGTTCAGGATGAATTAAAATTCTTATCTGCTCTGCATCCAGTGAACTTGGCCTCGCCTTCCCGATTGTTTGCTGCGGCTGACTTTCCCAAGCTTTGTGGGGTTATTTTTGCCTCTGGGTGGTGGTCATTCCTTCCTTCCATGGCGTTAGGTTCAACACAGTCACAGAAAAAGAGAAATTTAGCAAACACCCTCAAAATGGCAGGACTGGGCCCCAAAACCTACTTTCATTTTCCTCTGTTCTGGGTTGTGGGTAATTTCTTGACAACTACAAGAAAGAAGACAACGAGAAATGCATTGTTATTCCAATGCAATTGTGAACAGATGTATAACCTCCTAGTTGCAGGAACGTTCTAGGAATCCCTTACACCACCTTAAAGGGGCAGGGAAACGGGCAGAGGTGCTGAGGGCTGGTGAGTGCTAAGCATTGGCAGGGCTCAGCCTCATCCTAAGGAGAGCTGCAGCCATAACCTGGGTCACCTTTGTTGTCTCGGGCTTCTAAATTTGGCAGCGAGAACAGACTCGCTTCCTTTGAGCAATTGATCTGAATAGCAGAATCCCATTCTGATGGTCCGAATCACATTTACAGGCTGTGGGGGTGAAGGCCGTGCTAATTGGCCACTTGCCTCACCACTGGCTTTGAAACAATCACTTGTATTCTCTGCCCGGCAGGAAGCAGCAGACCCATCAAGGCCCTGGGCTCGCTCTTTGTTCTGACTTTATGGCATTTTATGCCACAATAAGAAACACTGTGTACTCCGTGGGAGCCCATTGTGCCAGGCTGCAAGGATGTGGGCCCTGGTGCAGAGGGCCTGGTGCTCTTCCCCAGGAAGAAGAGGGGCTTTGTGACAGGCTGGGGGACAAAACAAGGGGTGCTGGACACTGTTACTGGGGCAACTGCCTGGCCAGTGTGGAGGCAGCTTTAGTCCCTGAGACCGTTTCTGTGCCCAAGGAGAGGGAGGGCAGGGGAAGGATGGAATTTCGTCTAGAGTAGCAGGTCCTGGTTACCTGGTAAATTATGCATCAGGACTGGGCTAGGCATTGCCTCTGTTTTCTCTGGGCTCCCGAGACAACCTCCACCTGCCTCTAGATTCTGTGCCAGCTGAGCGTATCTATCTCACCAACTCTTGTTCCACCAGGAAACTGCATCTTGGTGAGTGGGAAGTTTTTGTAACTGTGGACCAAACCTGGGCTTCCCATGTTTTGGGTTGATCTGGTCCTTAGAGAGAAGAGCTTTTGGTTTTGTAGAAATGATATGGATGGGGGCGGGGGTAGCCACAGTCTATCCAGTCTCACACGTGAATGAACCGACGGGGATTTGAGAATGGCTTCTAGATCCTGCCTGCCTCTCCAGCCAGCCCCTGGGCTCCCTTCCCCTGCACCTAGCCTGAAGTTTTTCACTATTAACTGCACACCTGGGACAGAAGACAGAGGCGGGTCCTTGCTCCAGGAGATCGCTGTAATAATCAGATAGAGACAAGACCTGGGCTGGGAGGAAGCCAGGACACGGGGGTTGGGGGACTAAGCCCTGACAAATGGAGTGCTCCGTGTGGGGGCTGAAAGGGAAGGAGGAGAGGGAAGGCAAGGCCCTTTAGCTTCACCTCGAAGGTGGGGTCGGGTGAGGCTGGTGGGTCCTGTCTTCTCTGGAGATGCTCCCCAACAAGCACCTGAAGGGAGGAAAGGCCAGCTTCCTGCTGGCCACTTGCAGAGGCGAGCATTCGGTGCTTCTGCCAGCCTGTCCCTCACCCCACACCCACCCGTCCTTCCCATGTCCGATGCTCCCCACGCGGTCCCCCTTATTACCCCGTGCCATTGCAGCAGCCTCCCAGCGGTTTTCTTCCCCCTCCAGTGTGGCTGCCCAAGTTCTCCCCGCAAAACCCACATCTCCTGGCCTGCCAATCCCAGGCTGGAAACTGTTCCATGGCCTCCAGAGCCACTCACAAACCCTTCCCGCTCCCTGCCTGCACCTTAGGCTCTTTCTCTGCCCTTCCCGGCCACACACCTCCCTGACTTTCCCCAAACATGCAGGTCTTTCCATGTCTGTGCGTTTCCATTTCCCTCTGCATGGAATACTCCCATCACACCTCTCCTTGCCCATCTGCCAAACCCTTCAGGATTCTGGGTCAACATCATCCCCACAGTGGATCCATTGATGAGAGCAGTAATGGAAGCAGGTTTGCCACCAGTCTCCCAAAGAAGTGGGAACACTGATTGCAAAGGGCACAATCTGATTGGATGAAAAGCGAGGCCTCAGAAGCATTGGCACGTGTCCCCGAAGAGCTGGGCTGGAGGTCTGTCCTACAGGAGGGGCAGAAGATGGGGGTGAGAATGGCGGTGCCCCATTTCATCTGACTGCTCTGTGTTCCCCACATCTGACCCAACCTTCCGTTACAACACAGGCACATTTGTGGATACTCTTGGTTACATGTGTGTTCTGCCCTCAGACTCTGAGTCTCTTCTAGGAAAGGAGTGTCTTAATCATCTTTGTATTCCCAGAATCTAGTTTAGAGGCTAGTACATAGTAGGTTTGCAGAAAATCTTTGAATAGTGGCCGAGGTGGGAGGATTTCTTGAGACCAGGAATTCAAGACCAGCCTGGGTAAGCAAGACCCCATCTCTACAAAAAATAAAATATTAGCCAGGCGTAGTGGTGGACACATCGCAGCTACTCAGGAGGCTGAGGTGGGAGGATCCCTTGAGCCCAGGCATTCAAGCTACAGTGAACTGTCATCCCGCCAGTGCACTCCAGCCTGGGCAACAGAGTGAGACCCTGTCTCAAAAAGAGAAAGAAAATCTTTGAGTAAGTAATATATGTTGAACTTGGAAGTATTTCTTTACCTAGAATATTGTTCTTTCTGCAAATTTTGTACCATCACTTTCTCTAAAACATGACTCAGGACTCGCCTCCTGGAAAAAGTAGGTTCTGATTCAGTAGTTGACTGTGCATCAGAACGTTACTGAGCACCTATTAGGTACTAGGCATTTTCTAGGCACTGGAGGCCTGTGAGATACAAAAGAGATAAAGGTTCCCATGCCCAAGTTGTTAATGAGTGCCCCCAGCCCACGCGGGCCACTTCCTTATCTGGCAGAATCACTTGGGACGTCTGTAAACACTCAGTGCTCCTGGCATCCGTAGTGCCAGGGACATGGTCAGCAGTCAGATGTGACTCACTGTGTGCCCAGCATTATGAGAGACAGGCATAGAAGGCCTGGCTTTGCATTCAAATAGCTCACAACTTCACTGAGACCAGTTGTTTATGGGATTGCAGGAAACCCCAGGGAGCCCCAGCCAGGGAAGAGCTTATGTTGTCAATTTCACAGCCTCTAAGAATTCACTGGGTCCACTAGTTCTCTTGCACAGGTGCTACTTTCCAGTTATTTCCTGGTTTTATAAATATGTGTCTCCTTTTTCAACTCCTTCACACGCTCTTTACGGAAAGGGATATCATGGCGTCATGTCTAGTGTCTAACAGCTTGTTTCCCTGATCCTCATCTCAGCACCTGGTACAGGGCAGTGCACGAATGGATGAGAAATGATCACCACCATTAAGAGGCATTTGTCAGCTAGGTGCGGTGGCTCACACCTGTAATCCCAGCATTTTGGAAGGCCAAGGTGGGTGGATCACCTGAGATTAGGAGTTCCAGACCAGCCTGACCAACGTGGCGAAACCCTGCCTCTACTAAAAATACACAAATTAGCCGGCATGGTGGCGCACACCGATAATCCCAGCTACTCAGGAGGCTGAGGCAGAAGAATCACTGGAACCCCAGAGGCGGACATTGCAGTGGGCTGAGATTGTGCCACTGCATTATAGCCTGGGTGACAGAGCAAGACTCTGTCTCAAAAAAATAAAAAACAAAACGAAAAAACAGGAATCCGTCACTAGGTCTCTTCATGAGACACAACCAAGAAACACGATGTGAGTGAGTTCAACAGTTCTGGTAGATAAGGGAGAGGGAAGGACTTCTCTCCTAACTTAGTGCCTCTCTTTTGCTAAATGTTACCATCAGATTCTGAGTGTTTTCTACAAGAAATTACTGAGATGCAAATCAAGAAGTGTTGAATTTAACAAGAGCCAGTTTGTTTCCTACTTTCATTTGGGTGCCCTTTTTTTTTTTTTTTTAAACAGGGTCTCGCTCTGTCACCCAGGCTGGAGTGCGGTGGTACAATCATGGCTCACTGCAGTGTCAACCTCCCTGCAGCATCAACGGCACCTGGCCTGGGTGCCTCTTAACTGGTTATCTGTACCTGTTATTGCTTGGTAGTCTAAGTGTGTGAGATCAATTTCAGGGTTTCTCCAATTCCATGTGAGCTTGTGTTGAGAGAAGAGTGTCCCTGGTCCCTCCTGCTGCTTTTTGCTCTGGTTCCCAGCTTGCTCCTGGTACAACTTCTTCCTAGTCCAGGACAGATTTACTGGAAGTTTCTTTAGAGGCAGTGCTTTAGGGCTTTGGTCTTCATCCGTTGGGTTGTACTGTTTGTCGTTTGTCATGTTTGCTTTGCAGGCCTGGTGGCTAATGCTGCTTGCATTGGCTCACTGCTCTTAGGGCCATCTGTAACCTGTATCAACCCCGGATGCTTTGAAGTTCAATGTGCAATAAAAAGTTCATTAAAAAGATGTGGAATCATGAAAATAAGGTTACAGAAATGTTAACAAAGGATCATTTCCTGCTTCTAGTACTTTTCTTTTTTAAAAAATATGTTTCTCTGAGAAATTTATGTCACCATTAAAACTATGGAAGAGTTTAGGAAGGACAGGCCTGGGTCAAAATGAGGGTGAGATTCTTGAGGAGATGTCTTGGCAGAGCCCCAGCCTGTTTTCTTAATTGAGAGCTCAGGGTCTAAGGAGAGAATGTAAGCCAGAAAAAAAAAAAATCTAGGTTTCTCATGACTGACTTTTTTTTTTTTTGAGACAGTCTCATTCTGTCACCCAGGCTGGAGTGCAGTGGCGCAATCTCAGCTCACTGCAACCTCTGTCTTCTGGGTTCAAGTGATTCTCCTGCCTCAACCTCCCGAATAGCTGGGATTACAGGCGTGTGCCACCACACACAGCTAATTTTTTTGTAATTTTAGTAGAGACAGGGTTTCACCATGTTGGCCAGGTTGGTCTCAAATTCCTGACCTCAAGTGATCCACCCAGCTTGACCTCCCAAATTGCTGGGATTACAGGCGTGAGCCACCGCGCCTGGCCCTAGCATTTTAAATAGGGATGGCTCTAAACGGATGGAAACAGTCCATGGTCATACAGAGTCTGCAGCCATGTAAGGAATTACATGTAGAATGATATATGGCAGGTGTCTCTTGTCCATGTGAAGTGACTGGGGAGAAAGTGAGAGAGAGAGGAAGAGAGGAAAGAAGAAAATAAAAAGAAAGAAAGGTGTACAGGATGGGGTGGCAGTGTCATTAAAACTGCCTTGTGGCACCATCTGGCTTGTCTACTGCCACACTGGCTCACTTTCTAGTCATGACCTTCTGACATGAGCAGAGGTCCAGAGCCAAGCCAGAGGTCAAGAGCCAAGGCTCAAGGTACCCCTTGAGGATCCTGGGATCCAAAACACTGCCAGCAGACCAGCCCCTGGCATGACCTTAGGGGTAAGGGTGGTAACCTGTCCTCACAGTGCCCCTGCCTGGCCAGGCACAGAGAGGCATTTGACAAAGCGGGAAGTCCCTTGAGGCTCAAGGTGCTGATTTGACAATGACCAAGTGTACTAAGACACTGCAGAGGTGGACCCGTCCAACTCCCTCATTTGGGTTGACTTTGTTAAGGCCAGGCTCCAGTTAGGAGGAGGACTAGGCTTCTCCCTGCACACCATGGGGTCTCCTGGAGAGCCCCAGTTCTGCTGAAGAAAGGGCAGCCACAGATGATCACTCTTGATAAATATATCATCTTCTCTAATGACAAATGGTGCCACTATCATCATCTTTATTTCTTGGCAGCCTGTCTCTTTCAATGGGTATATACGCTGGCATAACATGTCCTGGGGGCCCAGGCAGTCTCTTGTGGGGAAGATTCTTCTTTTTCTTTCTTTTTTTTTTTTAATATATATTTTCATTTTTGTAGAGATGGGGTCTCGCTGTGTTGCCCAGGCTGGTCTCAAATTCCTGGCCTCAAGTGATCCTCCTAGTTCGGCCTCGCAAAGCACTGGGATTATAGGCATGAGCCATCACACCCAGCCAGGTCCCTCTTTTTCACAGGTCCTCCATGTTCAGGCATTGGGGGTACCCACACATAATACACAACCAGCCCTTGCATCCTTGCTGTCCTCTAGTTTTGGGGGGCAAATATCCCTAGAGACTCACTCACTTATATGACCGTTGATGACCATTTAATTACTACTCATGTTCAGTAATAAGCAATTATGTGATCATCACTTACTTTTCAGCCAGAGGGTCACCGTATATACATTTAGCAGCTGCTAAATCTTAGTCCTAACAATGACAGTCCCATATCCTCCCAAGTGACTGAGGACCTCAACAGCTTGCACATCTAATAAACAGCACTGCAGGGTTTTCAGGGCTGCCACCGGGCAGCTCTGGGTCACAGCCAGACTTACCCTCTCTCTTTCCACCTGGTTGTGATTGAGCCTCATGAGTTCTGCAAACCTCTGCTCATAGAGGTGAAGCAGCAGCACCAGGTACAAGCCTGAATTCATCAGCTCGTTTTGTGCCTACAAATGGAAAAGAAAGCTCTTCAGTTCATCTGTAAAATAGTCATGGTCTAAATTGTGGGGTGCAGGGTAACAAGGCTAAGAGGTGACAAGAACTGGGACCAGAGCCCAAGCTCCAAGGCAAGGCCTGCTCTTGGGGACCGGAAGACAGAGCAGGAGGAGATCCAGGGTAGAGGCCAGGGCCGTCACTCCCCTGGGATTTTTTACTAGCTAGTGGAGGATGCTTTGAGAAAGTTCCATTTTCCAGGCTCGATCCCATTCCACATTTATTGAGCAGTTACGTATGCAAAGCCTTGAGCTGGATGTTGTGGGGAACACAGGGCAACAAGCCTCAGAACTCCCTGCTGGGATGCCATCACCTGGTGTGGGGGAGAGAACTTCATCCGTAAACAGCTCCAGTACAAGCTGGATGTGCTACAACAGAGATGCACCAGGCCGTGTCTGTAACGTTCTCAGCAGTCACAGATGTCCCCTTGTGGAAGGCTTCCTGAGGAGCCTTGCTTGCCCCTGTCATTCCTTTGCTCCCCAGTCCCTAAGCATTCGTCTTGATCTTGCATACCACCTTTGGCACTTAACGTTTCTGCTTTTTCTTGAGGAGTGGGCTGTGTTTCGTTTCTCTCGCTCGTGCTCAGAACAGGCGCTACACAGGGAGGATGTGATGGTCTGGCTGGCCATGGTGCTTCTCTGTCCTCAGCACTTCGGCTTTGCTGCAAAGAGTGGCTGTGCTCACTCTAGACCTTTCACAGACCTTCCACAAATCAGCGGTGTTAGGAACAACTACTCCTATCCCTCTATAGGGGAAGGAGGGGAAGGCCCTTTCAGTCCCCGTCTTTCCCCTGAGTGGGGGTCTTGGGATGGGCCAGGCGGTGCTCACAAAGCCACCCAGCCCCCGGGGACTGGAGGCCCCAGCAGAAGGCATGGCCCCTTCTGTCACCCTTGGGAAAGGTTGCAACTGTGACTCTGTCGGTCCAGGATAACGAAGCGTGGGCATGAATGACACAGTGAGCGCTCAGTGTCTTGGCTGCCTCCCTCCTGCAGCAGCGCAGGTGCCACATCTCCCCGTTCTCATTAGATCCAGCGCAGCTCAGGAGGTTGGCACAGAACCCACCTCTCCCAGGACCAAGCAGCTGCCAGAAAAGGCACAGAAGTTGAGGAAGGATTGATGCGCTCTTCCTTCTGAATCAGGGCCAACTCTGGATCTTGGTGACAGCTGGCCCTGAGGTCACCGCTGCAGGCCTCTCCACCATTCTACAGATCCATCTTCGAAGGCCCCAATCCTCTGTCCTTAGCGGTTAGCCTCCTATTTTTAGCCTTTGGTCGTACTTTTTTGTGCTCTGCTGACCTTGGCCTAGGGCGAGCAGAGAACAAGTTGCTTGTTTTCACTTTTTCTGTTTTATTTATTTTATTTTTGAGACGGAGTCTTGCTCTGTTGCCCAGGCTGGAGTGCAATGGTGCGATCTCCGCTCACTGCAACCTCCGCCTCCCAGGTTCAAGCAATTCTCCTGCCTCAGCCTCCCGAGTAGCTGGGATTACAGGCGTGCACCACCACGCCCAGCTAATTTTTGTATCTTTAGTAGAGATGTGGTTTCTTCATTTGGCCAGGCTGGTCTCGAACTCCTGACCTCAGGTGATCCACCTGACTTGGCCTCCCAAAGTGCTGGGATTACAGGCATGAGCCACCCTGCCCAGCCACTTTTTCTGTTTTAATTTTGCCGCCTCCTGCCCTCCCCATGAGTCTGTGCCTGCCTCCAACTGTCTCGCCAACCACCTCTTCTGAGAATCCTTTCTCACCTGGCTTTTAGCTCCTCCTCACCAACCAAGCCTTGGCCCTTGTTTGTTTTCCTCAGCCCCGGCTTCCTCCTGCAAAAGCTGCCAGTGGTTCTCTCACCAGTGCTCTTTGCCAGCCAGCTTTTATCCTCGAGACACTCGGATGCATAATGGCAAATCAATCAGCTAGAAAATGGCTTGGAACTATCAGGTTTGTCAAAGCATTCAGGGAAATCATTTACTTTTTATGACTCAATAAGGCCCAGAGGCATGCAGATGGGAAAATATCCACTAATGTTTTCTGCAGATAATTTGAAAAGTCACTTCTAGCAGATTGTGTCTCTTCTCTGGTCTGTGGGAGGGAACCTGTCACATGGCGCCATCAATCTCGCCGGCTCGGTTCCTTTATGTGCGCCCTTTGCAGAGCTGGTGATGCTCGACAAAGGGGCTCAGCCCACCAGTCAGAGCAGGCGTGTGATAGTCAACTCCGAATCAGCCTTTATACTCCTGAGCTACAAGTGGGAGGCATTTGTTAACTCAGAGAGTTCCACCGCACTTGGCCGGCCAGGGCCAAATGAACGAGGTTTTGGAGCAGTGCTTATGGGAGCTACGGCTGATCCACTCCTTCCTTGTCCCAATCACGTCACACTTTGACTCCCACGTGGAGTTCCCTTTGTGTGCCAGACTGAAGGGAATGGGGGTGGCATTAATAGGAGGGGACGGGGACATTAAAAAGGAGAAGGCATGTGAAACAGTGCATAAGCGCTCCGGAGATCTCAGCCCACCTGCCAGTTGTTTTCTCCATTTTGCTAATATTCATTTAGGCCAAGAGACTTGCTACTGGTGGAAATTCTCAATACATTCCACTTAAAGAAGCTGACGGCCTGGCTGAACGTTCTATCAAGTCTTCAGATATGTTCAACAGTGCTCCCAGGTATAAGCGTGATTAGGTGACTGCGTGTGTCTGAGGACATCTGTCCTTGGCTGAGATGGAGCCAGGCCAGGCCTGTGCTTCAGAGCAATGACAGCCTGAGGCCCACTGAGACTCTCCTGTGTGGCAGAGCAAGGACGGCAGGGGTGTGTTCCAATGCACAGTGGGCAGGGGCCCCTGGAGTGCGCCTTACTTAGAAAGTGCTTCCGGCTGAGGTGGGCAGTGTAGGGCCACTGGACACTGTGACTTTAGGCAGAGTTTTAACTGTGCAGGGCCAAAGTGACTCAACTTCTAATGGAGGAGAAGTAACCTCTGTTCTGCCTGTATCCCCAAAGCGTGGTAGTAAAGTAAGCTAATATATGGGATCTCACAAAAAAAAAAACACATCCTACAAGAGGCAAGATTTAAAGACAGGATTCCAGGTAAATTGTCTGGGCGTAAGATCTGTGAGAGCAAGGCCTGCATCTGTCTTGTTTGCTCCTGACTCCTAGTGCCTGGCCCAGTGCCTGGTATACTGTGCATGCTCTATAAATATATGCACAGATGAAGTAATGAGAAAAAAATGCAAAATTGTGATGGATCAGACAGTGACCCATTCAGCCACAACGTTTGAATCTAGTGGCTCCAGCTTTAACGTGCATCAGAAATGCTGAGCAGCCCTTTTCAAACACAGTTGCTAGGCAGTCCCCTCCCCTCCCCTCCCCTCCCCTCCCCTCCCCTCCTCTCTCCTTCCCCTTCTCCTCTTTTTTTTGAGACAGTCTCACTCTGTCACCCAGGCTGGAGTGCAATGGTGTTATCTGGGCTCACTGCAACCTCCGCCTCCCAGGTTTAAGGATTCTCCTGCCTCAGCCTCGCGAGTAGCTGGGATTACAGGTGTGCGCCACCACGCCCAGCTAATTTTTGTATTTTTAGTAGAGATGGGATTTCACCATGTTGGCCAGGCTGGTCTCGAACTCCTGACCCCAAGTGATCTACCAGCCTCGGCCTTTCAAAGTGTTGGGATTACAGGCGTGAGCCACTGTGCCCGGCTTCACTGCTCCTCCTTTCTTCCCTGCAGTTCTGATTCAGTTGGACTGGAGTGGAGCCCAAGAATGTGTCCTTCTGACAAGTTCCCAGGTGATGCTAATGCTGCTGGTTTGGGGATCACCCATTTTTGAGAACCACTGTTCTAAACTAAGGGTGAGCACTTGGTAGCTGCTAAGCTGAATCTGGCCTGTGGATGTGCTCTGGTTGGATGGAAGGAAGCAAGAAGGAAGGTAGAAAAGAAGAGCACGACCATCTTTAGTTGGGGAGAGCGCTTTTCATTTTGCCACAAATGCCACCATGCCCAGTGGCAGGATACCTAGAAGATTACCATCATTTGTTGCCTGCCTGGGCTCTATGGTATTTGAGCGTGTAACCTGTGACTTAAACTTTCCTTAAACCTGTTTTCTCCTCATCCATTTTGGAGGCTGGAATGTTACTTGGATCGCCGCATGCTGCTATCCAGGAGTTCTGCCCTCCACCCCAAATCCGAGCGCCCAGCTAGAATCCAATATGAGTCCTGCTTCCAGGCAACAGCCGACGCCCACAGGAGCAAATGTAGGCTGGCCTCACACACGGCACTACCGAAAGAGTCAGGGGAAAGGAGGGCTGTACTGCCCCAGGCCCTGACAGACCTGAGATGAAACCGCCAGGTCTCTGGGGCCCCACAGCTGCTCTTGTCTAATGATCCCCTCTCCAGATGCTTGTAGGAGTTCCTAATCTAGCCGCTTGAGGCCTGGTAGCAGGCCTTGACCTTGGGGCCCGTACTGGAGCCCTGTTAGCGCCTGTGAGCGGCATCTGCCCTGCTCCCACCAGAAGTACAGAACTAAGGTAGAAAAACGTGCTCTGATGGCGGCCCCTTCACACCCTCAGAGGCCACCGACAGTGCTGACCGGGCAACTACAGGACACGCTCTGATCTGTGCTCAGGTCCCAGGTGAGGCGTCCATCCCAGATGTCACAGACTTCACTCCAAGGCCCCGTGGATAGAAGGCCCGGTGGATAGAAGGCCCGCTCCTCTCTTTCCTTCCGCTTTTAAACATCTCTTCTTCAGAAGGGCCTTCTCTGGTTCAGAGAGCAAGTTGGAGCCCCATAGCTATTCCCCCAGCGGCCTGCACGGTCCTCGTTCTGACCTCCACCCGCAGGGATCGCTCACTCCAGTGTTTGCTGCTGGTTGTACCCCCTCCAGGTCTTGGGTACCGGCAGCATTTCCAGCACAGTAGCTCACAGGCAGCAGGTGTTCAGTAAGTATTTGAAAAGTCAGTTAAACTGGCTGGGTG